ATTACCTCCTCTCTGATAACGCTCGTGAAAGAAGATAAATCAACAAAAAAAAGACCAAATACGATTCCCCTGGGGATTCCATAAAGTATGACGTGGTCTGTCACAGCTAGCATCATCAGCTTCAGCCACTGACCGGCGTTGTTTCGGGAACACACTTGACGATCTGCCGCGAGAGAAGCACGGCACGCCATGAGGGTACAGACCCCCCCCCATCCCAAAAAAGGCCATAGGAAAAGAGGCGAAAAAGTGATGATATGGAATCAAATACTGGAAGTTTGAGAGTTTGCGCAGAGTCAGGGGCTGATTCTAAAGCAGGTTTCCTGCCGTGGTACTAGAGCGTGCTATTCCGCGGAATCTTCACCAAAGCTCTGGAAGTACTCTTTTGTTGAACATCCATAACTTTTTATTGAGATTGGAGCTACTGAAAAGGGGAACACAGGGTTGTCGTTCATTAACTCTGCTTAAGACATTCAAACCCTTCCTCCTGAGGAAATTTCTGCAGTGAAAGACGCCCTCTCCAAAGAGATTCGCAGATGTGTTTTATTGTGTAGTTTTGGGCCACATGAAAAACACACCGCTCCGACGCGATACCCTTTCCAGATCGTTTGAGGACTTTAGCATGTATCTAGAACACATCTTTTCGTCAAACTTGTCAGGAAATAGTCTATTCTGCGCCGACTGGATCAGCTCTGTAGTGCGGCATGCATCCGACTCCCACACAGACTGTTGGAAAGGTGCACTTTCTAGTTTGGGCTCCGTGCAAGAATAGGCTCTTCCACAATTTAGAAATGTCCGAACATATACTGTGTTTCGTTTGTTTGTTAATTCACGACCTCGTTGTGGCCATCGTACTTCCTGTCACCCCCTGTTTCCAACTTCTGACAATGAGCTTGTAGCTTGCCTGTGTCTTCAGGTTTCTCCTAACATGTTCTTCACAACAAGAACTATGGTGAGTATGGCTGCTTTTCCCACTTCTGAACATGCCCTGCGCTTACGACCCCTCACGCTCCCCCCTTCGGGTCAAATATGACCTCCTCCCCCTTGTCGTTGTGATTTATACAACGATGGCGTGCCTTATCAACAACGCGCTTCTTAATGCTGCTTCGGATACTTTGCGACACGCGTCAAAGAAAAATCACAGGTCTCACTCGTAATCCAGTTGATCACCCATGCTATCTCCCAAACCTCGCACCTTCTTATTACCATTACTTGGGCCACTAAAGTAATTCTCGGATGTGGAGAGAAGTAATGACCCCAATATGGCGTTCATTGACTTATTCGAGTGTTAGCCTTATGACTTCCAGGCAAAAGGCAGTTATTTGCAGAAATATGGAGGGAAATATTTGGTAAGACACCGCTATATCCGATATATTGTGCCAAAGCTACGAATTTTTCGAGAAGTTCTTTTTTGAGATATTTACAACTCGTGGGACTTCGTGCCCAGTGCAACTGAGTCTCGAGAGTCTGTTTAAAAGCAATTTCGCCTGGAGGTATAAACTTGGAGTGCAACATCATTCTGTCTCTTCGAGTTATCGTAGTGGCTAAACAAGCACCTCACCACAGTTCCAAGTGGAGTCAATAAATGGCAAGTATTGGAATAAAATATGGTTACTCAAAATGATCAATGCCTCTATTTCAAAGGCGGAGCCCATGACTACTTATAATTATCCCGGCCTTTCCTAGGGGGAGGTACATATTGCGCACTGCAACGAGCATTTCTGTATAACTTGTACGTACGAAAGTGATGAGATACAGGCGACAAGGCACAAGGTTGCTCAAGTAACTCCGCCCAAGTTGATAGATGTCTTATCCCGTTTGCATGCTCTCTCGCTGCTTCCTCTGACCTCTCGTTCGATATCCACATCGATCCCTCGTCTCTCGCTCGGTACAAGTATAGTATTATTTAGAGCTTAATGATCCCTACGTTGTCCCTTTTTGAAGCCTCGGCATGATGTCGAATGTTTGATTACTTCTGCCATATGAGGAAAAAAAGTCAAGTAACATCAAGTGATTCCACTACACAATAGTTTCCGAAGTTTGAACTGCGTAGTCATTGAATAAGGCCTCGTTTGGCAGAAGTAATCAAACATTCGACATTATTTGGAGCGTTTTCCACGGTCTCCTCTCCTATTTTCTTCACGGGTAAGTCAACTAGCAAATATACTCCTGTTACTAATACCGCTATCTACAACATTTTCGCTTGTTCATCGCAACTTCTACCTTAGGACGCGATCACGATAAGAGGATGGTTTTTTTAGAATTAGCCATGTACATGCCTTCTCTATACTGCGGTGATAGCTAATCAATTAAAGAAATGGAACATTCAAACAAGGAAACTATGCTACAAAGGCATTCATGGAACGGGGAGGAGCTCTCAAAGGTCTTCCCTTCCAGCCGCTGTTTTCGACGGCTTTCTCCGAATATAATCGCCGTGGCAAATTTCATTTACACCTGCGGCAAGGGCGAAGAGTCTTCCTCGTGAAAAGTTTAGCAACCGGTCAACCGACTTCGTGGTTTTTACATAGAGGACTGATTGGAAGAGAATAAGTGCTCATGGGCTCAAATGATATTGGAAGAGAATAAGTGCTCATGGGCTCCCCTGATCACCATTCACTTCTGGCTTCCATGCCATTTGGAATCAGTTTGGTGGCAACGTAACGAATAATGCCGCCGAAACCAACAATCAAGGGTATCCTTCAGGAGTGTTCCAGAATGGCTCCATTCCTTCAGAAACAACATTTTTTGGTAAGATCAGGTCTCCTAACCCCGCAAAAGTGCTTTTAGGATGTGCAGGGAGCATTTTTGAGAAAATGCAAAACCACAACTCCAGGAAGGACCCGAACCCTTTTGAATTTGAAACGCCTATTCAATATGCATTCCCTCCAAATGTCATAGAACCCTGTAACACAGCAGAGTGCAAGGAAATTTTTTTATCCGGTGTTCCCATTGCGAGAAACTTTTTTGCTTCCAACACTTTGTTCTGGATTATCACATTTGTTCTTGAATCACAAAACTTGTTTGTACCCATTATATGAGCAAAATAAATCATTAGAAGTGTTCACAGGCGAGAATGGTACAGTTTTCCGAGAAAAGCTCTATTC